TTTATTGTCATTATTTGCCCTAAGATGACCATGCATTCATTCAGCCTTTTTGTGGTAGTCTTTTTCGAGGATAACTGGAAATATTCAATTCAGCCTGCCACACATGCCCTTGTTCTATAATCTTTTCCACTGCTACTACATAACTATTCATGAAATTGTTGCATGAGTGACCACAGCAGAGCACACACAGAACCTTTAGGACAAATCATATCAAAGATGCTACAGATTTCAGGCAAAAGGTAGGAAATATAAGGAAAACTTTCAGGAGGCTGGGGATGTAGTCCAGTGGTACAGCACTTGCCTTTCATGTCAGGAGGTCCTGGGTTTAATCCCCAGGATGGGGGTGTGGGATAGAAACTCAAGATAAGATTAAAATTGAAGCCAAATCTAAATCCCTATGTACCTATGACTGGAATTTTAGAAGGTCTTGGCTACTATAGTCACTCCTTTAGAACTGTCAGATTAAAAGCATTCAGCATCAAAAAACTAAAACTTAAAATACACCACACAAAAGAGAATGAGTATTTTTTTAACATTTCACCCCTCCTGAAGTCAGGAAAAGACCCCACTCAAGTCTCCATTCCCAGCAGAATACTATATGACATACTAAGTAGCACTCAAAACATAATTTTAGAAAAATCTTACGAAAGTGACCAACCTACTATCTTTCTTCATATTCACCTTCTTTTTCAAACTTCTTTCCTCTTTCTTCCCTTTTTCTCCCTGTATACACACACAGAGCATACTTTCATTCACACATACACACACACACATACACACACACACACACACTAAGTCTGAACTAAATAAAGCAAAACACTAAGAATTCAAATTTCACCCTCCAATTCAAGATATTTTAAAAATACTGGCATCACTAATTCTGCAAAAGTCTTGTATAAACAACAAAGGAATCCTTCACTTTGCCTTCTCAAATTTGTGCACAAACCCACAAAATCCACATAGTTGACTTTCCAACCAATACCAGAGGACAGGTAAACAATGATATCAAATTCTATGCAGGATTATCTCTGCAATATGAGAAGTTAAATTCAAATTCTCTATAATTGTGCTCCATTCCCTTTACTTTACCTACTTAACTGCTTCTAAATTCATGTTCCCCATAGTATCTAGAGCAAACATTGTTCAGATGCAGCTAGGTCTATATGCTGATGCAGAAACCACCCTCAGTACTGGGGGTGTGACTCAGTGTTAGAGTGCTTGCCTAACACATGCCTAAGGTTCCCAGCACTACCACCAAAAAAAGAAAGTCACCCACAATTCACCAAACTTGGAGAGTCCAACAGTAAATTTACATATAAATAATGGCAGGAGAAGGAAGTACTAAAGAATCTACAAAGTAATAGGTGATTAGAAACTATCTTGTATTTTAAGATAGTTTGACCAGGCCCAGTGGCTTGCACCTGTAATTCCAGTGACTCTGGAGTCTGAGGCAGAAAGATCACATGTTCCAGGACAGGCTCAGCAATTTAGTGAGGCCCTGTCTCAAAATAAAACTAAAGAGGGCTGGGGATGTAATTCAGTGTTAGAACAGCCCTGGATTCAATCCCTAGTACCTGAAGAAAATAGAAAAGAAAAAGAAAAAAGAAACTATCTTACGTTGCTTGCAAGTGAAATCATATGGATGATCTTAGCTCCCCAACTAGACTTTGAACTCTCTGAGGGCAGAAGTTACATCTTATATTTATTTGGAATCCCTATGGTACATGCTACACAGCTGAGCATAGTGGATGCACTCCAAATGCTTACTGATTTGATTTAATGCCCCTGTGATGAATTTCAAAGTACAATAGAGTAAAGCAGCATAGGAAGCAAGCACAGTAGTTCTGACTCTGCTGGCGTATAATACCCTGCTGAGTAAGTGCTCTAAGGGACTCTACAGTAATGAAGAAAATGGGTTTGTCACAAAAGGGAGCCCAGTGTCCAAATCTAAAGAGAAAGAATGTTACATGCTCAGGAAAGAGATATTATCCTGAATTAAAATTATCTGTATATTGTGTGTTTCCCTACAAACTCCCTGGGGTCAAAGATCAAGTGTATTATTTTGTTTCCCTAGGAAATAGTAAGTACGGTGTCTGACATGTTCTAAATGTGCAATAAATGCTAGTGGGTTGAACTAATGAAAAAAATGAATTGTTTAATGAAATCACATGAAGGACAAAAGAAGTGATACAATATGATTTAGTAGAAAATTTTCCATAGAATCTTATACTTATCACATCATAGAACTTATTATTCAGTTCCCTAATTGTTTAATAAATGTTGTTTTCTTGGATGGATTCCTTAAGTAATGAGGAAAATATAAAGAAAGTTAGGGAATGTAGCAGGATATTATTATCCTAGGAATCCCACTGAACCCTATAATAGTACTTATCATTCCATATTGCAAATCACCTTGTCTCCCCATTAGAATGTGCATTCATTGTCTTTTTTATCTGTACAATGCCACCAGCCTAGAGCAGTACTTTACAAAGAGTAGACGCTCAACAAATACCAGTTGAACACATGAGTCAACCATGCCTGCTCTTCTATAGATTTCACTGGATTTAAGTATTTTATCCAGTTCACATTCAAGGGCTTCTAGTATGGAAGAAAGGGAGAAATGTCATTTTCCCCATGCAGGGCTTTGTGACAGATACAGATCAAATGGCTTGACTGTGCTTGGCTGAGTAGGCTTCTGCCTTTTCTGAGTGGGTTTTCAATTGAACTTTCTATGAATGCATATTGGAAATACACACTTAACTTCACAGTGTCTAATACATGCTATCATGGACCTGCCTACTCCTCCACACCAGCTCTGTGTGATTTTGATAAACAAGTAGAACATCTGGCTTTGTGAGTCAGGAACGTCATCAGAACTGAGACCTTAGGTTTTCTAAATATTTGAAGCAATACATTCTTCACTCTGCCCATAGAGAATCTCAGAACACTAAGTTCTTAATAAAACCATGTTATAGTTATAGAGCTCCTGCCTCTTGATTGTATTTCATAGACACTTGGCCTTGCATTTTTCTGGTGCCCTGAATTGATTCCATGAATGATCACCAGGTCATCAGGATTCAATACTTTTGTCCATCTCCCTAAGCAAGAACACTATCAGCAACCAAATACACAACCTTGGCATATTTCACCTCCATTGTTGAGAGATCAGTGTGAAGAGTCTGGCCACACCACTTTGTAGGTATCATCTATATAGAATCAGCTTAAATTCTTCTTTGGTTATAAGTGCTCAGGAAGACACACTTAGGTATACACACCATTGTCAACAGTGATTCCCAATTGCCTAGTAAAGAAATATACCATTTTAGGGGCACCTATGAATCAGACCCTTATACTACACAATGTCATATTATCCCTTGCATGGCAAATGTACCCATTTTGTAGATGAGGAAACAGAGACTCAGGCTACATAACAAACAATGACATTTGGATTCAAAATTGTGATCTATCTGGTTCCACTACACAGAACTGCCTCTCTCCTCTCCACTGCTGAACTATTGATGGTCTATAAATGATCCTCCAAGTAGTCTATGGTCTAGGCCCTAGTAGTATTCAGGAATATTAATAATTACAACTGAGTCTATCTAGCACAATATACTTTCAATAAATTTTTATTTATGGAGCTATGAATTTATAACCTTGGTGCTTTTGTTGCCAGCAAACTACCTTCATTTGTTCATTAAAAATACAGCTTTTGGGAGCTATTAATTCTGGTGGGAACTATTTTTCAGGAGAAGCCATCAATGTAAGTGATCCTAAGATCCCTTTGTCCTACAAAATTGACATAAACACTATGCAACCATTTTATGTAAACATGATGGCCTGGGTATATCAGGCGGAAATATTTCTGAAACAGGAAGATATCACTGAAACAGTACTTTCCTAGAAGTTTAGCACCCTGTGATATGCCCTCCCTCTCTTGATGACCTGCTTTGTGAGTCTGAACAAATCTCTTAGCATCTCTGCACCTTTGTTTCATCATCTACTGAAGGACCATCTATCAAGATATCCAATCTCAAGTATCAAAGGAGACAACAATTGTAAAGGTGCTTTGAAAAATGTTGACAAACTCTCCAAGTGTACAATATTTCTTTCATTAGTGGCCTGAATGGGGGCACATGCCTCCCACTGCATCAAATTTCCAAACAAAGAGGGAATTAGGCAATTCATAGAAAAATGAAAACAACATAAAAACTACCTTCCACCTAGCCACCCACCACCATCATCTGAATATCACCCTACTATCCTGAAATATTTCAATAGCCAACAAGCATCTGACCACATTGTGTTTTTAAAAATCCTTCCATTTGGAAACATTCATTCACAGTAAAGGGAAACAGAATTAACTAAAATGCATAGCTAATTCCTAAAATATTCATATTAGTGACAGTTTCAACCTCCTCAGCTGTCAAATGTTATTACCAGAACTGCTGAGAAATGGCAAAGTGGCTTTCATTTTTTACTTGCCTCCCATGAACCAGCTCATCCATATTCTTGGCAAGATGCTAGAGAACAGTGGTGTAAGGGGGATAAAAAGAAAATGGGGCTTTAGGAGACTGAACAACTCTCACAGGAGAACATTGCCCCCACTGGAGTGTTAGAGGGTTTCATTCATTTTCAACATTACTCAGTGACTCTTTCTAAGCTATTTCAACTGACATATTGTTACCACTGGCTCTCAAGCATGTGATATTTGCAACAGGTGGAGCAAACTTGTATTATGCCAGGACACCGTACTGGACTTTCAAAAGTTTAGACCCTTCGGGTTCCTCCTCGCAACACCAGCCCACAAAATCCATATATGTTGGGTTACCTTTTGCCCCAAGAAACACTGATAGCAAACCTAAGTAAGGAAGTGGGCTTAGGCAGAGAAGTTCTCCCTGCCACTGCAGGGGATTGTACCAGCATAACAGTCTATGGTGTACTGAACAGCTCAAAAAGAGATCTGTGAAGACCTCACAGAGCTACTCATCTACACTCACCTCAGGCAGAGGCACACCATTGATGATCAGATCTGGCTGCTGGGGGCCCTGGCTGTTGAAAGAGTGATGGTAGATGTGGTTGGCGCTGGTATTGCGAGTATTCTGGTTCTCTACATTCAGGAAAGTGCTCTCAGAGCGGCGGCAGCCCAGGGGCAGCGTCTGCTGGTGGTAGTCGAAATAGTTGAGGGAGGAGGTCAGGGAGGAGCAACTGACAACATTCATCTTGTCTGTCTCCTCCACATCCCGGGGTACCAGGCGGATGTCATTCTTACTGATTTTTTTCTTCTTGCTTGATTTCTTTTGATGCCCATAGGAGTACTCAGCGATTCTATGTGACAGAAAAGGCAGCATGAATTGATAACACCCTCCCAAACCATGCACTGATTAATAAACATTAAGCATCCCAGAGGGTTGCACCCCATCTCCGCTCCAGCTCCTTATTCTGGCGCATTACATCATCTGGTTTCTCCCTGTGCTTTTCTCATGCGAAAATAAGCTGAGGGCCATGAAGTTTTCATATTGAACATAGTAACCTCCCCCTACCCCCACCCAAAAAAAGTTCCTATAATCTGGATCTGGAATTTTTCATTTGAGTGGCCAGTGAGCAGGGGTGGGAGGATGGGGAAAGTTGAGCCTGTGGGAGAGAAAGCATTAAAATGCTTAAATCTGGAGCTTCCCTGGAACCCAAAACAACTTCGGCGTAAAGTGAGAAGCAAACCCCAATTTAACAGAAAGAGGAGATGGAGGGAAATAAAAAATAAACTGCTTGCCAGTTCCTCCAGGCATTTACCATGTAGCAAACTCCCTTAATCAGCTTCCTCTGTGATTGACCTGATCAGTTTTGGACTGGGGTAGAAGATGAGATCCTGTCCTTTGAAGTCTCCTCAACTCCTGTCCTCCACACCCTCCGCCCTGCCCTAGCCCAGCTCCCTTCTACTCTCCACCCAGCCCCCTCCTCTTCCAGAGAAATCTGATAGCCAAACCCATTTGAATGAGGGGAAATGCCTTTTTACCTCTTTCCCCTTAGGCTCACTTTCTCCTCTGCCTTTTTGTCTTGCTCCTCGCTAATGGGAGAAACCGAGATGCAATGCAGACACTTGCTGTTTTGTCCTTTTATAAAACAGCCGAGGAGACAAGTGATGGTTAAACAATTACTGCAAAGGAATTTAAAGGTTAGTGCATTCAGCATCCTTCTCCATTCAGGTGTACCTACAAGCAGCTGTGCTGCAACTGGAACATAAAGAGCTCAATTTAATTAACACTGACACAGACCCAGCAACGTGCACCAAAGACACCAAGCATTAAGAGACTTGTCAAAAGAAATACATTAAAATGTAGGCAGATTCTCAATGTCACTTAGCAATAATGATTTAAGCTTATTGTTTGGAAATTCAATTTCTAGGTAATAATCAGCAAAACAATAGGGTTAATAAATAATACAGGTTGATCTTTACAAGGGAAAGACTGCCTGTATTCTCGCTCGACAAAGCTAATTGTCTGAATACAAAAAGGGAGCCCAATTCAAGCAGCAATTGCAGATCATCTTGCAAGTCTCATAAATGAATGCATTTCAGGAAGAGGCTCTGCAGAAGCTGAGAACAAGAAACCTCTGCCTAATCACATGGAAAGAAACGCTCCTGAACTTTAGGTTTCTAAAAAGTCTGAGCAGATGGGGAGACTGCATATCTACAGAGGCAAATAATTGCTCTGTCCCTGGGATCTACCTAGAGCTAAGCAGTTGAGTTCCTTCCCCTCACCCTTTCACTCTGTGCCCAGGCAGACTTGCAATGATGGCAAGCTGATGCTACTGGGGATTGGGAGCGAATAAAATCCCCCCCAAACCCCTGGAATACGGTTGATTTTCTTTTCTAATCTGTTTACAGAATCAATGGGAAGTTCTAATCATTTTGTTTACCCATGATGAGTAAGTTTGGCAATGCCCCATCCAATTATTCAGCTGAGGCATTCATTGCATAGCCCTTTCTGTATTGACCAATTATTTAATTAAACTGTACTTCATTAATCCCAAACCATCACAGGGAAGAGAGTGCTTTACAAAATACACATTTGGGTGAAGTTGGAGAGCACTGAGATTTGCACTTTTTTTTCCAAATTCAAATGCTCTCCTCCCTGTTTTAATGATCTCCCTGGCAAGCACTCAGAAAGAGCTCTCACTTCTAGTCATATATCACCAAGAGGTGGCAAAGCCTTCAATATCTTTATTTCAAGCTGATTTCTTTTTCATCAAGGAAAGGGTCTTATGCATTTACTTTATGCTGAGAAAATGGCTTAAAAAGAGTCCCCTCTATCATTATCTCCATATAAATAAAATTTTATTGACCCTGCATTTTTCTCCTATAAAAATCGCCACTGGCAGTCACAGGTTTCAAAGGTAAGAGCAATATTAATTTCCATTTCTCCCATCTGAAATGACTCCGTGCTGAAGGAAAGAAAAGTCATGGCCATTTCACTAGTAACAGGATTAAAGCATTTATGAGGCATTGCAGCTGCTCTTTTATGGCACCTGATTGATATTCATGTGTGGTTAGCATTTGTCTACTAACTTGTGTAATGCAGAGAATAGTAAAAGGGAAACAATAATTGCATGGCTGTTACATATTCAGGGAGCTCTGATTCACAGAAGTGTGCATTTCAGATGGTGTCAACTACAAATCTGACCTACAGGAACATATTTTGACTGATTAACATGCAAGCACAGATGGCACAAAAGACAAACTGGATGTGTAGGTGTGTTGAAAGCACACACACACCTTGGTTGGAAATAGCAGCATCATTCATTTTCAGCAAAGTAAAGAAACAACTTTTTTTTCAACTGTTTCGATGAGACACTGCTGGAAAAATTATATATTAAGTTGGGTTCTAGAAATTCTTGGACTTATTTATACTATCCAATTGTAAAGAAGAACTTCAGCAAGACCCTCTAATGTGCTAATCCGGATTGTTTTTTAAATGCTATATGTCATTCTAGTTTCCACATTTCTCTTCCTTTTCTTCACCCTTCTCCTCATCTCTCTTCTCCCCCACCCCAATATACACATCCTGCACACACTTCAAGAGAAATTGTAACACAATAGCCCATAGTGACATCCACTGGTAGCAACCAGATCTTAATGCCACAGCACAGTTCCACATAAGAGGAAATCACCGTAAACTCCAAGATTGCTATTTTTATTGAAACATCTGGACACAAAGTCTTGTCCCTCATTGGGAAGTTAGGTCTTTATACACCAACCAAACAGATATTTGAAAACATACAGATGCCTGACAGAATTTCACTTTATATAGTCAGATGTTTAGGGATTAAATCAAACCAAACCAGGAAGAGACATAAAAACACTAATCACCTGTTCTTTGTTCCTTACTCTGTTTCCCAACTTAAACTCCTACCCCCAAACTCTCTTCAGAGTTTATCACTGCAGCAAAATAGGGCAGCTGCCAGCATTCCCTCTCCTTTCAGTACCTGTCTCCAAATCACTGTGTTTTGCTGAAAATGTGAGTCTCATCTCTTCTCATCTCTTCTTTCTCCCTTTCTCTTTCTCCCTCCCCTCTCTCCTCCCCCGCCCCTAGTTCCCATAACTTCATGGAGACAGCTGTGCAAATTTTAAAATGATAATTGCTTTTCTGCTCATCATCATTATGTGACAGAATCCATTCAAACAGTAAATGATTGTCTTCCAGCAAATTGTCAGATCAAAAGAATTGATCAACTTGGACTCTCATAAACTTTTCCCCCCTCCACAAAGAAGCTGTGTGAGTATGCTGCATGCAATTAAGTGGGAAACAAAAGCACTGGGGTTTTCACACAGAGACACAGATACTCACACCTTACTCATCCCAGACAAAGAAGAAAAGAAAGAAAAGTTGGCTCTACCTGCAGTTGTAGGTTCGGATCTCTTTGTTGTCGCGCTTGCACTTGATTGCCACGAAGATCATAGTGACAAACAGGATGCCAGCAATAGAGCCCAGGGCGATAATGAAAATCAAGGATAGGTTCACTGAGCCCATTGACTCTTGGGCATCAAGAGCTGGGGAAAGGTAGATTAGGACCAGCGCAGAGGCTGAGAGAGACGTCTTGCCGTGGTCATGGGCCACCACAATAAGCTCATAGGAAGCTTTAGAGCTCTCGCTGAAGGTGCGGGTGGTCCTGACTTCGCCATTAACCTGGTCTATTTCAAAGAAGCCACGGTCACCCTCAGTCATGTCATAGGTAACTCGACCATTTTCGCCCTCGTCGTAGTCGTCTGCCTTGACAACAGTCACCAGGTAGCCTATGCCTGAGTTTCGGGGGATGTAGACCTCAGCAGTGCCATTGATTAGTGGCGGGGCTGTGATAACTGGGGTATTGTCATTGACGTCTAGGATGATGACCCGCACTGTGGCGTTGCTTTGCAGTGAGGGCAGGCCACCATCCTTGGCCAGCACCTTGAATTCAAATGCCTTGGTCTGCTCATGGTTGAAGGATCGCAGAGCATAGATATCACCCGAATTGGGATTGATGGAGACATAGGTGAATACAGGCATGTCCCGCACCTGCGACGGCACTATCTGGTAGGAGACACTGCCATTGAGACCCAGATCAGGATCGCGGGCAGACACAGAGAGAAGATAAGCGCCGGGAGTGTTATTCTCCTGCACAATGACCTGGTAGTAGGGCTTAGAGAAGTGCGGGTGGTTGTCGTTCTCATCAGTTATGCGCACTGTAAAGGACTTGGCACTTTGCAGCATAGGTACGCCGCCATCGCGCGCCTGAATGGTAAGATTGTACTGATCGTGCTGCTCACGATCCAGCCGACCGTCCACCAGGATAGTGGAGAAGCTCTCATACTCCTGCAGGCGAAATGGCACGTTGCCCAGCAAACGGCACTGCACTCGTCCATTGAGGCCTGAGTCGCGATCGGACACCCGAACTAGGGCGATCACGTAGCCTGGGGGGGCGCTCTCGCTCACCTCCACAAGCTCACTGTTGACCGATAGCAAGTTGATTACCGGTGGGTTGTCATTGGTGTCCAGCACGCTGACTGTGACCTTGCAGTGTGCTGGGATAGAGTTGGGCCCCAGGTCCTTGGCCTGAACGTCCAGTTCGTACACGTGGCCCTCTTCATAGTCTAGGGCACCAGTGACAGTGACCAAGCCACTGTGTGGATCGATTTGGAAAAGCTCGCGTGTTCGGTCGTTGACATAGCCATAGAAAGAGTAGACAACCTGGCCGTTGGTGCCCTCGTCTGGGTCACTAGCATTAAGGCGAATGACGGGTGTGTTGGGAGGCGAGTTCTCAGGCACGCTCACCGCGTAGGTGGACTCGCCAAACACCGGGTTGTTGTCATTGGAGTCAGTCACCTTGATGCTGAGGCCCACGGTGCCCAAGTGCGGCGGGTCTCCGCCGTCGAGTGCAGTGATTCGAAAACTGTAGTGCGACTGAGTCTCGCGGTCTAGACTTTTCTCCACCACGAGTTCAGCAAAGCGTGAACCGTCGCCACGCGTCTTGATCTCCAGGCCGAACAGTTCGTTGGGCGTGAGCTCATAAGTCTGCACCCCAAAGCTGCCAGAGTCGGGATCATAGGCGCTGTCCAGCGGGATACGTGTGCCGGGGCTGGCCGCCTCTGATATCTCTAGCTCAATCTGTGCCGCTGGGAAACTGGGCGCATTGTCGTTCAGGTCCTTGATCTCCACCTTAATCACGCAGATTTCCATTGAGCTGGACATAACCTCGAGAGAGATGATGCACTTCGGGCTCTGACGGCACAGCAGGTCGCGGTCAATCTTCTGCTTGGTGACCAGCAGGCCTGAGCTAGGGTTGATGTCCACCAGGTGCGGAGCGGAATTGGACACCACACGGAAAGCGGAGGCCTGCCGGGGGTCCAGCGCGAAGCCCGCCTCTCGCGCGTCCTTGGCCACGTTAGCGATTACCGTCCCGGCACGCTGCTCTTCTTCCACTGAGTACTTGAGGTTAATGAGGGCGGCCGCCTGCGTCCACAGTACGGCCAGCAGCAGCAGCACCGGCAGCAGGAGTGACTCCATGGCTGCGCGGGGCTCTGCTTGGCCTCGCCTCTCCACACCCCTCCGAGGCCGACGCCGCCGGCGCTCCAGCTTCCCGCCGGCTCGGGCCGCCTGTTGCGCGCGCCCCGTGGCCCCGGAGGCCGCGGGAGGAGTCCCGCCCAGGGCGGCCCGGCGGCGCGGGGCGTATACCCGCGCCGGCTCCAATGCTGAGGTTGAGGTGGACTCGGCGGGGGCTCGCTGAGGGCCCGGGGGCTCCAAGGGGCCGAGGGAGCGCCGCGCGGCCCCGAGCCCCCTCCCTCCAGCCCGGCTACTCAGTTTTCCCCCTTCAAAGTTAGCCGGAGGCGACTGGCCACAGCGGCGCAGGGCTGCGGGTCTGGTGGCGTTTGCGAAGCCGAGACCACCCGCGGCTGAGTCTGGACAGTACTTGGAGCAAAGACTCAGAGGGCCCTGGGGGTGCAGCCTTTCAGGCGCTGCCCGACCCGCCGCAGCGCACTGGCACTGGGGCTGCCGAGCGCGTTGTCTGTGCACCTGGCATGCGCAAGGACCTCCCCCCAGCGCTCCCGGCTCACTGCGGAGAGAGGGCCCGCCTGGAATGCGCCCTCCGGGATCTGGGGGGGCCACACTGGCCTCTTCAAGGCCTGTTGGGGGAAAAGAGGGATCTCAGGCGGGAGTCTGAGTTGCTGGCAAGGGCTGCGGGTGCCCAGGGATCTGGCTGAGCTGGATGGCGGTCCCAGGGCTGGCAGAGGAAGGGGGAGGGGACAGAGGCTGCCGAGGAGAAAGCGTGCTCCCCGGCGCTGAGATTGGCTTCGGAGGGCTTGGGAGGCGCGTCTGTTCAGGATCCGAGGTGGGCACGGAGTCTCCCCTACAGAGCAGTTGAGGGGCTGCGGGCGTTTCTCGGAAATCAAAGTTACCAACGCAGCCCAAGCCTCCACATCAAGTTTGTGAAAACGGGGAGATGGCAATTTGTCCAACAAAATCAAAGTCCGGGTCTTTCCAATGGCCCGGTGGGGGGAGGGAGGTGGGGGGAGGGAGGTGGGGAGTGGGGAGGAGGGGAAGGGAATCTACAACAGTACCGACCAGGAGAGGCGGGGCAGCCGCCGTGGATACCCGGGGCTTCTCCTCCTCCCTGGGTTTGGGCTGGGGTGTTGCTCCAAGGGTCACCGCTGCTGTCGCCGCCGCTGCCGCGGGAGGAAGCCCTCTTAGTTCAGTCGCATGTCGCCGGGGTCCGCCTCAGCAGCTTCCACGGATGACGGTTTTGTCGCCGCCAAAGTTTACTTGCGGGAGCGTCTTGATTCCATCCTCCCGGAGAGGCACTGACCGCACTGCCTTGGGCTCCCTCCCTTCTGGGCACTCGCGCGCTCGGAAGGTCTGTCTCGCTTTTTGTCTGCCTCCGGCTGTGTGTGAGAGAGAAAGAGTGAGTGTGTGGCGTGGGGAGTGTGAGTGTGGAGTATGAGCGAGCAGGAAGAGATGGGTTTGGGGTGGGAGGTTTCGGATCTTAGATGAATCTGCTCAGCTGGAATGCCGCGGAGAGCAACGCGCCCTGGGCCCGCGCTGGGCTAGGGACGCAGATGCCAGCGCCCCCCGGGCAAGCCAGGCATGGTGCGCGGGAGATGTGCTGCCGTCTGCGTTAGCTCGTTCGTCTCCCCTCTGCGCCAGCCGCCGCCGCTACTGCTGCTGCTGCTCCTCCTGATGCCGCAAACTACTGGCCGCGGAGTCTGGAGAGAGCCGGAGAGACCCCGAGCAGCCGAGCCCGGCTACGCCAGGCGTTGGCCAATCAGCGCGCCGCCCAGCGGGCTCCGGTCTTGGGGCGGGACCAAGGCACCGGGGGCGGGGTGGGGCGGGGCCAGGCGGAAACTTACACACCGGCGGGACTGAGTGGTACCCGGGCCTGCGAAGCCCTTGCGGGAATCGGGGGAGGCCGGATAGGGGATAGGCAGAGGAAAGAGGGCAGGGTAGAGCGGGAAGGGGTTGGGCTGGTGCTGCGGCTGAGACTCCTTGGGAACCATGTGCCTCTCCAGTTTGCAGAGATTGCAGGAGAGAGGAGGATTTGGTTCTCTTGGCGTGTTTATCTCCCTCACATATCTTCGTATCTTGAATATAATATGCATTCTCTCTCCTCTTCCCCCACCAATTCTTTGTCTCATCGCCCTGGATTTGTCTGTTTTGTTTTGTTTTGTTGTTTTTTTTTTGTTTGTTTGTTTGTTTGTTTGTTTGTTTTTCTGTTTTCCTCTCTTCCCATTCTTGGGTAATATAAGGAAGAAAGGGAAAGAGAAAGCACCCTGGGGTGGTAATTCACCCAACGCTTGGCCAGTTGCGTCTTCACTTCACTGGGGGCCAGTATCCACCCAGATTATTATCCCCATCCCTAAAACCCTGGCAGATGCCGCACTCCCGCCACCCCACCCCACCCCCAGCAGCAAGGTCCCTGACTGGGTTCAGCTAGCTCTTTTCTGTTGCTTGTTAATCAAACTGAATCTGTGGTGCAAAGACTGAATCTCGAAGAGATCTGGACACATTTTACTGCCCCTCTCCCCACTCTTTGGATAATTTAGCTCCCTATAAATAAATTGTACGTTTGAGAAAAGCCGGCGGAGCGAACGCCGCCGCGCTGCGCCGCTGCCTCACCTCGCCTTGCCTAGCCGCACCAAGCTAGGAGAGCCGAGAGCTGGACAGACGCTGTGGGGTGGGCGCGCCATTCACATAGGTCTCTGGCAGCTGGGATCCGGTGTGTGCTGGGCGCCCCAGCCTTCCCACCCGGCCTCAGTCTCAAGGGGCTGCCAGTTCCCCTTGGGCGGCTGCGGCGGCTGCGGCTGTGCCAATGCTGGGAAACAGGAGGCCAGCGTGGCCAGGACTGACATCAAGCTTAGCCTGCCTTCTGGATGGAAGGCGCCCTGGGGACTGAAGGGACTCCTCCATGCCCTGATCTGAGGCTCTTAATTAAGGTCACCGGCGGAAGGAATCAAAAAGCACTCCCGCTGCACAAGTTTTATTTTTCTTTTTTAAAATCATGTGGGGGCAGGGGAGCAGTTTCTGAATTCCAATTCTTGGAAGAGTAAATCACCCTTCTGAGTGAGTTGTCTCTGGTATTTCGGGAGTTTGGGGTGAGCAAACTCCTAATTAGCCCAGCGATAATTGACCCGACTTAAAATGAGAATCACTTTTGTCCTTTAAAAACATTAAACAAGAAAAGGAAAAGGCATTTGGACATATCGTGGATTTTCTCAAAACTGCCATCTTCTTGCAGAGAGTAACTCAGCTGCTTTTTAAAATATTTCTCCTTCCAAGGGGAGCTAGTTTAGCAGCCTTTACCTTGTCGGTGGGAGGAGGGAAAGATAGCTTCCTCCTACAGAAAGAAATTTGGTGAGTAAGGTTGCGACCCTCCGAACGTACATCCAAGGCCAAGGGGAAAGCGCGGAGATCCTGTTCCGCTTTCTGCGAGGGGGTCGTTTTACTCTTTCATATCAGAATGCAATTCAGCCCAGACCATCAGGGAGAAAATTGAGGCGTCTGCAATGAGTATCGTTTAATTTTGATCATTTAGAGATGCTGGTGGACGGCAGAGAGGGTAGCTCGAGGGAGCTCCGTGGTCCGCTGGGTTTTCTGCAGACAACGTTGGAAAAATGGGCAAGTAGAGGAGGAGAATGACAACATGGCAGGCAGCGCGGGCGCACCTCGCGGGCTCCGCTAAAGGAAAGGTTCCATTTGATATATCACAGTTATTTACCTTTGATGTCAGCGAGTGGGGATGAAGTGCATCTTGGTCTAATTAAAAAGGCCTAAAAAGGCATTTGAAATGGGTTTGCTATATGATCATGGGAAGAGAGTTCAGCGTTTGGCAGCTTTCTAAAATATTGCCTGGACTATTTAAACACAACAATTAACAGCATGCTAAAATGTTTGCATGCTATGCTTAGAAGCTTTTAGCTGTAAACTTTAAGGCGATCTGTTCCCCTTTAAGTTAAAAAAGGATGATGCTGCTTCCTTGTGGCGAAGGCTGTCAGGAACCCGCTGATCAATAAAAGTAAACTGGCGCCTCCACGGCTTGATTGAGCGGGAGCAAAGAGTCTGAGAAGTAGTCTCGGCCATTAACAATCCCCCAGGTAACAAGAAATGGAAGAATTACTCAGGTAAAATGATTAACATTGCCGTGGCATCTGAAAAGATGCACACAACAAGATAAGAAGACTGCAGACCTCTTACCTTAGGGAGTGCTAATAGAATGTCTATATTCTGCTGTCTTTTAAAGATAAATAGGAGAATTCAATTCATGTAGAATGTCATTACTTTTGTAATCACAATCACATTGTAAAGACATGCTCTGCATTTGCAAAGACAAATGCTCTTTACTAAGGCAGTGGCACCGTTTCCCCCTGCTTCCTGCTCACTGCTCACTGCTCACTGCTCACCGCTCACACTCCAGGAGTCCCTCTTTTCAAAGCAGAGCACCCAAGTACTTCCAGCTATCAAACTGCTTTTACAGAAGCCAGATGCTGAGAGAGGCAGGGGCGTATGTATCTGCTTTCATTCTTTCCCATTACCTCCCCACCCCCAAGTTCAAAGTGACAGTTATGCCCACCCCCACGCACACACAATAGTTCTTCCATCCCCCAGTCAATTTCTACAGATAATCCTTATACCCTTTGCTCTCTGAATCTTTTTTTAAATTGGCATATTTGATCATGGTAGTCCAACAATGCTATTGACTAAATGAGTGGCCAAGAACTCTTTCATGATCAAGAATTTATTAACTAACTGAATGAAACCGTTCTGCATGTAGATAATAAACACAAAAAGAAAGTTCTCTTCATTTAGCTTCCGTTTACTTCAATTCTGAAGGGAGCCCCGCCTTCCCAGCCTCTTTAGAGACACAAGAGGGACATCTAGTGACCATCCTCAGTATTTTTTATACAACTGCTGTAGAGAAACACTAGGCTCTGGGTACCAACTATAGGGTTACACAACCTGCCTCAGCTCTCTAGGCCAAAGCAACTGCTTGGGTCACTAAGCTCCCCAATCAGAAC